TTTCTCTATCTCTCTCTCTCTCTCTTTTTCGAATTGTCTTTCTGTACATCAATGATGCAATTCACGACATGCGTGTGCTGTGCCACTGGTCACCACTGCACATGATGGCTTCAAGGAACCCAAAGTGACATATTCCCCGTAGTAGCCAAATCATTTAGCGATGGCCATGAATGCTGAAAAGTCCAAGAAACTGGACCTACTCATGGGTCGGCTCTACACATTGGGGGCGCCCAAGGCAGGGTCCAAGGGAATGATGAACCATGATGATCCTTTTTGTGAAAAGGTTTTGTAATGTATATATTGCAAATGTTGATGCATGAACAACAAGTAGAACAACACATATCCTGACCATGCCCGGCCTGCAGTTTCTACTATACTCCATTTCGCTCCTTGCCCTGAATCCCGCTATCGAGATCTTCACTGAGGCAGGGACGGGGGTTAAATGATGACCACATCACTGGACCGCAACCTGCCGACCAATGGTGCAGTTTTGACATCACTTTCCACCACTGAAGTCACTGAAACAAAATATCGGATATCATCCAACCCCACAAATACTTTCAAATGTTTATATGTTGATAATTGATGGTTATTGTGGGTTTTTGTTTTCCAAACGACAGAAGGCACATGGAGGATTGGCTCATGTGCACAAGATCGCAAAAGAATCAAATATAACATCATGAAACGCAGCAAGGAACAATTTCAAGAACCATGCGACATCCCAGCTATTTTTGCCAGCTGCCTCCAGCCAGCCACTGGAGGCCTATGGATTTGTAGAGCTATTCAGTGGAGAAGCATGGACTTCGCGTTGCATGCGCAATTCCCATGTGAAGACGGCATCTTTTGACATACGTTACGGTGATCCCGACAGAAACCCCTTGAAACAGGACCACATGGACTTGTGTACAAGTGCTGGTTTTTCGTTCCTCATACTGATGTTTAGGAAGGGGTTACTGTATCCTGTTTTACTCATTAGTTTCCATGGTTGTTTCCCCCTAGCATGGACTTCCCTTTTGAAGTAACTGATTAACTTCTTATGATGAGAAAACAGTTCTATTTCAATGATGGCATTGGTGCATTTTGATGCTTTTGGGGACCTATGGGAATCTGAGGCTTGCTCTATTGACAATATTGAATTGTCGCTGGGACCACTTCCTGGTAGTGGTTGGGTTGGTATGCTCTTCTTTCGTGACGGTGTCGGCTGGAACTCACCAAAGAGCACCATGGAGCCCTTTTGGAAACCTAAATGCGTTGTTCGTTGAGACAGGGAATCTCTTAGCGAGCAGGTTGCTAGGCTGATCATAGCTGATGGATGATTGGGGTGATTTTACGGATGTCGCAATACCCATAAAATAGGTTCAATGATATATATAATATATTGTTTCAAAAATAAATGAATTAACAGGTGCCTTATTGTGGGGAACCCTCCTATTTACACCCCATTTGTAACAATATGCCCTCTCCGCTGCGCCCAGGGTATGCGCCTTGATATTGGTAATATCCTGCATGAATGGCTGCTGGATCCTGGAACAGCCACGCTCGACTCAGCTGATGTGGCTGCCCCGGGTAAGATCCACATTCAGACTTCTTCCCGAGGTGTGGGGAATTGGGGAAACAATTAAATACTTCAGCTTTGGCACCCCCAATCTAGATGCACAGTTTGCATTGTAACCATGTCCACCAAGGGTTGTAACTGCTGACACGTGCTCATACCCCATGCTGTTTTCCAAACATGTTAGTTTTCATGTAGGGTTGACATCCCCTGCATGGTAGCCACTAAAACTCAGGCCCTAGACTGAGGGCAGACGAAACGACACAGGCCCAGGAAAACCCGCTAGGCCGACGCTGCTGGGGGGTTCAGGTGGCCGGTGACCACTAGGTTACGAGCCCAAGCCATGCTGGAGCGCAGAAGGAAGACTCTGCGAGAGAACGTGGCTGAAGAAGAGGCTGACCAGGAGGTGGAAGTGCTGAAGGGAGGGCAGATGAAGGCCCTGGAAGATAAGAGGCAAGAAGAAGACCAAATGGCACTGAGGGGAAAGGGAACACCAAGCCAAGGAGGTGAATTCCTGAAGACGCCCTCACAGCCAACCTTGGAAGATGATATGGGGAGAACTCCACGGCAGGAGGAAACCCCCGCAAAGGAGTGGAAGACTCCGAAGACCCCGGTTGAGACACCCCGGCAAGCAGAACCCCCGACAAGCTCCACAAGAGAAAGGGAAGAGAGAGGAGGAAGAACGGCATCGGCAGCCCAGACCCCCTTTCACAGACCCTCAGGAGCACCTGAGACCAGCCCCCAATGGCCTGGGGGACCCAAGACCAGCCCGACCACGCTCCGACCAGCCAACCAGCCAGAACCACAACCGCTGTTCGACGACGAGCAGTTGAGGAGATATGAAGAGTTGCGGAGACAGGCACCGATGCTGAACCCGCCCCAAGTCCAACAGAGGACACTTGAGGAGATGCGACCTGAAACTCTGAGAGAGGAGGAGTTGAAAAGGTTGAGAAAAAGAGAGGAAGAATTGGAGATGGAGAGGGCCATGCTCCTGAGAGAAAGAGAAGAGTTGCAGAGACTGCTGCAACAGAAAGAAAGGGAAAAGAGCCGAGAGAGGCATGAGGAGGAGTTGCAGAGACTGCTGCAACACAAACAAAGAGACGAGAGCCGAGAGAGGCATGAGGAGGAGTTGCAGAGACTGCTGCAACACAAAGGAAGAGATGAAGGCCGAGAGAGGCATGATGAGAGGCGTCAGAACGCCATAGAAGATGAAGATGTCCAGTATAGGACCCCTGAAGAAGAAAGCCAGACAGCCAAGAAGCTGTTTCAAGACGAGCTTAAGGAGGCTGACAGACCCCCAAAGCCCGAGGCTGAAAGACCCCCAACGGCCAGAGAGGCCACAAGACCCCTGAAGACAGAAGCTGCAGGTTCCTCAAGGCAAGAGGAGACCCCAGGAACGTTGCAGCTGATGGCAATGATGATGCACACAATGACAGAGATGCAGAAAAAGATGCTCTCCAAGGATGGAGGAAAAGAAGGAGAGGGGGGAGAAGCAGAGTACGTCAGAAGCCACCCCGAAGTGCCAAGACTGACGGACTGGAACCCCTCGACAGGTCCGATAGACCTGAACGATTGGTTGGCGTTGATTGAGCCAATCATGGCAGACCTCACAGCCACCTCACACGACTGGTGGGACAGGCTGCTGAAAGAAGCAAGACAGTGGTACCAAGACCACATGGCTCTGAGTCCAATGGACAGGCTGACACACGAGCCACAGCCTTCCAAAGACTTGGACCAGCCCAAGTGGATCCGCCTAGAAAGAAGGGCGTCCACACTGCTCATGATGAGCATCCCTGAAGCCCAGAAGGAGGAGCTGGTGTCGACGAAGAGGATCACAGCTCTGAAGATCATCTGCCACCTCTTCACGACCTTTCAGCCTGGAGGATTGGCTGAGAAGGAGGTCATCCTCAGGTCGTTGGAGATGCCACAGGAAGCAGCAACAGTGGCAGAGGCAGTGAGTTCACTGAGGAAGTGGATGAGATGGAGGAGACGAGCAATGGAGCTTCAGGTGAGCGAGCCTGATCCCTTCCTCTTGCTCAAAGGCTTGGGACGCATCGTCCGCCGACCTTTGGAAGCCAACAGAGAGCTGAATTTCAGGATCAGCTTGGCCAGGTCGATGCTCCAGGTCGACTCGACCCCCACGAAAGACACAGTGGGAAAGTTCTCGACCCACCTCTTGGCTGAGATGGAGCAGATAGCACACCTTGAAGGCAGCAAGAAGAGCACCAGCAAGGACACGCAGAAGCAAGCACAGCCAGAGGTGAAGGTCAGGAAGATTGAAGAAGGAGGAAAAGGTGAAGGTAAGTCAGGGAAAGGTGAGAGAGCCCCCTGCAAGTTCTTCATCACGACAGAAGGATGTCGCAAGGGAAAGGGTTGCAGATGGGCCCACAACCTTGACGACCAGAAGAGATGCTGGAATTGCGGCTCGACGCAGCACTACGCACCAGCGTGTGACAGACCCCGAGAACCCAACAAAGAGGGAAGTCCGGAAAAGAGCGGAAAACCCTGGGAGGGGAAAGACATGAAGCCGACGGCAAAGGTGGTGAAGAAAGAGGAAGCCACCAAGAAAGAAGAGGTAGCCAAGGAAGGCTCCAATGAAGGAGACAGCAGTGAAGCCATGAAGGGACTGCTGGAAGAGGCCAACAAGATGTTGAAGGCCTTGCAACAAGGAAAGAATGAAGAAGACGAAGGGAAGGAGGTCAGGCTGCAAAAGTTGCAGAAGCAGCTTGATGAACTCAAGACCCTGAAGGTCTTCAGGATCTCCAAGATCCACACAGAAGAAGGAGACTATGGTCTTTTAGACTCTGGCGCGACGCACGCCTTGAGAGGAAGACAGCCAGGAGAATCACTCAAGGACTTGACAGAGGTCCGAGTGACGTTGGCCTGTGGTAGAGACGCCACACTGAAGATGACAAGAGGAGGAACAATGATTGGCCAACATGAGGAGACAGAGCCAATCGTTCCACTTGGAAAGATGGTCAGCCAGCTCGGCTGTACGGTGGAATGGGATGAGGGAGGCCTTGTCGTGGTTCACCCAGAGAGGGGAAGACTGGACACAACACAAAGAGGAGGATGCCCTCACATCCCAAGACCACTGGCCTTAGACATCATCCAGGAGCTTGAGGAGAAGTCTGGATGGATGAAGAAGATGAAGACCAAAGAAGAAGACGAAGAAGATGTCTTGAAGAAGATGGTGGCCGTTCATCCGGTCTTCAGAGACCTGCCAGAGGAGGTAAAGAAGGAACTGGTGGTGATGCCATCAAAGGATTTGACAGCCCTTCCAGGGATGAACCGTAGACAAAGACGGAAGATCCAAAGGGAAGGAGCCACTCTGCACCTGTTTGCGGGGGAGGACGACGGATTCACCCTGGGCCAGGCAGTGAAGAGTGCAGGCGGCGATGTCCAGACTTTGATAGAGCTGGATCAGAAGAGAGGACCTGGGCATGACCTGATGAGCTCAGATCCGTATGCCACACTGTTGAGGTTGGCATTTGACAACAGGATCAGAGGGATCCTAGCAGGCCCAAACTGTCGCACAAGATCAGTGCTGAGGAACTACAGGATGACACCAGAGTGTCATGGGCCAAGACCGCTTCGAGAGTGGGGTGGTGAAGAATTTGGCAGGAGAGACCTGCGAAAAGATGAGAAGACGAAGGTGTGGCAAGACGATGTCATGCTCTTCAGGACGCTGCTGTTGTACGTCCTGGCAGTCCACGTCGAGAAGACAAAGGACGAAGAAGAAAAAGAAGAAGGCATCAAGAGAGACGCCAAGACAGAAGAACAGAAGACAGGAGGAGAGGGATGGAAGAAGATCATCCTGGCTCTCGAGCAGCCGAGTGCTCCTGAGTACCTCCCAAAGACGGTCTCCTTCTGGTGGACGGACCAGTGGAGAAAGATGAAAGAGATGTACGATCTGCAAGAGATCAAGTTCAACCAGGGAGACTGGAAAGGAGAAGAAGGCGGCAAAGGCTGCATAAAGCCCACAACGATCGGCGGGAACGTCGAGATCAAGGTTCCAGAAGAGAGGAACCCAGAAGCCAAAGGAAGATCCCAAGACAGGGTCCAAGACTCAAAGAGCCTGAGCCGATGGGTGCCGGGTTTGATGAAAGAGCTGGCGAAGGAAGTGGTCAAGAAGTGCCAAGAAAGACCCGTCCAGCTAAGGCCCATGTCATGGGAACAACATGTGAAGCATGCACACGTCCCGTTTAGAAGAGACTGCAAGATATGCCAGCAGTCTGGGGCTAAGTCCGCTCCACACCGGCGCTTGAACGCCAAGAAGGGACAATTCCCAAGAGCGGGAGTATTGTCGGTGGACACCACAGGCCCACTAGTGAAGGGTGAGGACCTGATGGGAAACAAGATGAGATTCCTTCTGGTGGGTGCATACACATGGCTTGCACCAAAGGATTCACCTCTAGAAGACAAAAGGAATGAGAGAGTTCCAGAAGAGGAGGTGGATGCGATCGAAGGGCTGAGGATCGATGACAGTGAAGGAGAGGCTGATGATGAAGCAGAACACACAGAGGAGGATCCCCAACAAGACCCCCCTGGTAACCCTGAGGAGCCCCAAGGTGGTGAGAGAGCCATCAACCCCCAGGAGCCACAAGAAGCAGCCAAGGAGGAGGTGGATCAGCCAGAGGACTTTGAAATCAAGATTTTCAGACTGGTGACTCCCTTGCCCTCGAAGGCGGGGGGAGTAGTCCTCCAAGCAGTCATCGACATGATCCTCAAGCTCAGGTCAGATGGATTTGATGTTTCCCAAGTCCACTCCGACAACGGAGGTGAGTTCACCTCAGATGCCATGAGAAGATGGATGAAGGCAAGAGGATACATCCGAACATTCACGGGTGTCAGCAACCCACAATCAAACGGCAGAGCTGAAAATGCCGTACAACAAGTGAAGACACACATAAGAAGATTGCTGCATCAAGCAGGGTGGTCCGAAGACCAATGGCCACTTGCAGCGCGCCACTGCGACGAACAGTTGCGCATGTGGAGGTGTGGACTGAAGCAGAAATTTCCACCACTGGGAGCTGAAGTCCTGGTCAAGAAGAGGAGGTGGAATGCGCAACAGTTCCTGCCAACCATGGACCGAGTGACATACATCGCTCCATGTTGGGAAGGTCACGGTCACTGGGTGAAGCAAGAAGATGGGACGACCATCGTAGCCCGGTTCTGCATAGCTGATGTGTGGAACCCCGTGACAGACCACTCGTGGCTGGCAGTCATGACAGAGATGCCAGATCCACTTGAAGAAAGAAGAAGATTGAGGAGAAAGACGCCACCAGAGTTGGCAAAGATGGAGGTTCAAGAAGACGAACCAGGGGAAGAGGGGAGAGACCCTGAACCCAGAAGAAGATCAAGACTTTTGCAGCTGATCATGGAGGAGATGACAGCTCTGATGGAAGACCCCTCAGAAGAGGCCCTGAAGACGACGATGCAGTCTGTGGCCAAACTCCGAATGATGATGGAGACGGGCACGAGTGAAGACGTTCTTCAGACGAGGATCGTGGGCCTGGGGGAGGTGATGAAAGACCTTGAAGGATGGAAGAAGCCCATCGAAGAAGAACTGAAGTCTTTGGTGGAAGACAAGATGGCCCTTGAAGCCATTTCCAAGGAGGAGGTGGAGAAGATGTTCAGGGAGGCACACGCCGAAGGAAGAAAGCTGGAGGTGGTGCCAGGAAAGCTGGTGACGGTGGTGAAGCCCGCACCAGAAGGAGGAAAGAAGAAAGCCAGAATAGTGGCGTGTGGAAACTTCACGGCGAAAGATGCCCAGGACGAACTGTACGCGTCCACTGGTGATGCAGTGACTTTGAGGATCATGATGAAGTTAGCATCAGAAAACCAGTGGGACGGAGTCACGTTGGACATCCGTACAGCGTTCCTCAACACACCATGGGAAGACATGGATGTGTTGGTGAAGCCACCCCACTTGCTGATCAGGATGAAGCTGGTCGAAGAAGGCACGCTGTGGCGGCCGACGAAGGCCTTGTATGGCTTCAGAAAGAGCCCAAGGTTGTGGGGAAACCACAGGGATTCCACGATGAGGAAGATGGAAGTCCCACATGAAGGGAAGCGACACAGATTGACACAGCTGGTGTCGGAACCCAACCTCTGGAGGATAGATGAGGTGAAAGATGAGGATGAAGAAGAGGAGAAACCGAAAGGGCCTCCAAAAGCCCTGATGATGGTCTACGTGGACGACTTGTTCGCCACAGGTCCAACACAGCTACTGAAGGCGCTGACTGAGACCATCAAGAAGGAATGGAACACCTCAACTCCAGAGTGGATCAACGAAGATCCCACAAGATTCCTCGGCATGGGAATCTCCAAGACCAAAGGAGAGGATGGTCTTGAAGTCTGGGCAGCATCCCAGCAGGACTATGTCAAGGAGTTGCTGAGGAGGAACGTGGGGGAGGATGAGAAGAAATGGCCCAAGAGAAAGGTGCCAATCTCCAAGGATCCACCGGCTGAACACCAAGAAGAGCCAAAGGTGGAAGGAGTCAGGAAGGCCCAGAAGATAGTGGGCGAAGCACTCTGGTTAGTCACGAGGACCAGACCAGACATGATGTATGCCTTGGCGAAGATGGCCAGCCAAGTGCTGCATCAACCCCAGTGGGTCGCAGAGAGCGCATCCCAACTGTGGGGATACATGGCTGCCACGATCCATGAAGGGATCACCTTTGAGAAAGGTCCATCATGGGAAGGATGGGAAGAGCAGTCAGGGCTTGCTGTTTATGCTGACGCAAGCTTCGCACCCTCAGGTGAAGAAAGTCACGGTTCAGTGATTGTGACTCTGAGGGGAGCCCCGCTGCTATGGAAGAGCTCAAGGCAGTCGACGGTCAGCCTTAGCACAGCGGAGGCAGAGCTGAACGAGCTCATAGAAGGACTGATGATGGGGGAAAGTGTTGCAGCGATTTTGGAGGAGCTGGAACCCCACATCATGAAGATGATGGCATCAGACTCGCAGGCAGCGGTGAACATCTGTCTGGCAGAAGGAGGAAGCTGGAGGACCAGACATCTGCGCTTGAGAGCAGCGCATGCCAAACAGAGATTCACCAAAGGAGACTGGCTGCTGCGACATTTGCCAGGCGAAGACATGCTGGCAGACATTGGGACGAAGAGCCTGACGTCAGCCAGGCTGGAAAAGCTCAAGAAGGGGCTTGGCATGAAGAAGATTGGAAAAGATGAAGAAAAGAATGAGGAGCCAGAAGAGAAGACGGCACCAGAAGAGGCAGAGAAGATCAAGAAGAAGGAACAGGGGACCAGAGTCCCAAAAGAAGTAGAGAAGGCACTCCAGTGCGTGGCGTTGATGATCGCCATTCAGGGAGCCAAAGCTCAAGATGATGAGGAGACCGAAGAAAGGGCAGAGATGTTCCACATTGAGCTAATTCTGATGTTTGCTCTTGTGGGAGTGGTCTCAGTGATCCAGAGGATCATCCCTTGTCTGATGGGCTGGCTTCGGAGAGACCGACAGCCTGAGGAAGAGCCCGCAGAAGAAGAAGGAAGCAGGGTGAGAGGAGCACCCACAAGACGCCAAGAAGAACAGGCGTTGAGGACCCCAGAGAGCATCAGGAGGAGAAGGAGAGTGGAAGCCAGGGATGATGAAGACACAGAGGAGGAGACAGACCCAGGTGTTCCATTCCCTCACGGAGATCGTGATGGGAACCTCTTCCTGAGGAATTCGCCGGGCCCAAAAGCACCGCCAAGACAGCTGGCACACATGTATCCCATCCCAAAGGGACAGCAGAAAGGCCAGCAAGCAGGCCAAGCAGGCACACAAGTAGGCCAATTGGGCCTACAAGCAGGCCGACCGGGCCAACAGGCAGGCCAACAGAAAGGCCGCCCACAACAGGCAGCTAGCAGCAGCACAACACCGGTGCACATGCTTGTGCCACCACCACCACCACAAGAGCCAGGCGCAGAGCCACCACGGCTGGTGGAAGAGTTCTTCCAAGGACTCGTACAAGAAGAACACGAGCACCCAGATGATTGGGACCCGGAGACCCATGGGCAGATTTACCCAGGGAAAGGAAGTCCACCACAGGCATACTTCCAAAGGATGGCCGAGAAGGGTCAAGCCAAAGGGAGTGAAGAAGGAACGCCGATGAAGGGCGCCAAAAGAGGAAAGAAAGGTGATGATGAGATCGCGGCCAAAGGCGCGAAAGGAGGAAAGAAAGGTGATGATGAGATCGCGGCCAAAGGCGCGAAAGGAGGAAAGAAAGGTGATGATGAGATCGCGGCCAAAGGCGCGAAAGGAGGAAAGAAAGGTGATGATGAGATCGCGGCCAAAGGCGCGAAAGGAGAAGGAAGCCCACAGAAAGGGGCACCCAAGGGCCAAGGAAAGAAAGGCCAGGCAGAAGGTGAAGAAGTCCCAGAGACTGGAGCACAAAAAGGAGGAGGAAAGATGGCCGAGAACGGCGAAGGAGATGACGAAGCAGCACCTCCAAGAGTGCCAAGTGACGAACATGGCGTGGCACTGCCGGTGTACATCACGCCATGGGGCACAAGATTCCATACAGGGGTCACCTGCCCCACTTTGGCGAACTCTGGATGGATGGTGAGGTCGCCGTGGTGCCCTCTGTGCTGTGTCGGCCTCCAGCCGAGCTCCGCTACCATCCTCTACTCAGAGGGACCGGGGAGAACAGTGCATAGCCGACGAGAATGCGCTGGGCCGATGCAAGGCTACCCCATGTGCCAACGATGCGACGGGTACCAGAGGTACTGAGAGTGGCTTGAGCTGAGGGCACAAAGATGCCGTGCGTAGACCCCAGACCAATGCTGGGTTGCACTGGTAGGTTTTGATCCGGTGGCAGCTGTCACCGAAGATGTCTGGATGGAAATTCCCAGGCATGCACGAAGCGATGGTTCAAGGCCTGACGGTCCAGAACCAGGGGGAGTGCTGACACGTGCTCATACCCCATGCTGTTTTCCAAACATGTTAGTTTTCATGTAGGGTTGACATCCCCTGCATGGTAGCCACTAAAACTCAGGCCCTAGACTGAGGGCAGACGAAACGACACAGGCCCAGGAAAACCCGCTAGGCCGACGCTGCTGGGGGGTTCAGGTGGCCGGTGACCACTAGTAACCATCTCTGCCAGGGTTGACTGAAACCTCTAAGTAATCCCTGGAAGGTGTTTGAATCATCGTGGTGGATGGCATTATATGGTGGCCTCACGCCTAAACGGCATATAGCTTTTTCAAATGCGAAGACTATTCAAATCCTCGACCTTGGAAAGCTTTTGAAGGAAGTCAGACAAAGGCTCTCCAAGCATGGGTATCAATCCACCCGATCCTACAAAAGCAAGGGTCGCAAGGTCTTCTCCGGCACACGTTTTTTGAAACAAACTCAGATACTTGGTGCTAATTTGTTTTACCAGTAATTTGATCGAGCATTGGGCACCCAAAATGGATTGCAAACGAACAGTCTCACAATTAATATTCATTACATTTGGCAACTTAGACCATCTCTATTTATATATGTGTTTTTTTCCAAAGGGACCTTCCACCCCCATCATGATTCAAAAATAACATTCACATCTCCCTACAACAGCTAACATGCCCTGTGCTGAGGACCTATCCACCACGATTTGCTCGACGTGTGGCGAAGTACTACGACCGCTTTTGCACTCAACGGGTGGGTCACTGCCCAAAGGAAATTGACCCAGCAACTATGGACACATTTCAGATTCTTCGCCTTATCAATGTTGATTTGGAAGATGACCAGTGGACAGATGCCAAACTCATAGATGCATTTCTTTACTTAAGAGGTTCCAAGAGCCTTGAACTTGGGGAATGGCGCCAGGTTCTCCCAACTTCTATACCCCTTGATTGATGTAATATGATTAAAGTGATATTAAGTAGTGATGATACCAAACTATGTTGAAATCACACAGGAACTGTTTCTTCATGTGACTTCAATTTCTATTTGGCAACCCTGGTGAAGCGTATCCATACTTGCTTGATACGAAGTTGTTTTCATTGCAATTACTGATGGTGATGGGGGTAGACTGGGACAGTCCCATCACATGTCTCACCAGTCTGCGGTGGATTCCCACAGTGGCTCCAAGATCAAAAAGACTATTGTCAACGTTAAGGGGTATGGGTACCTCTGCAAGAGTCTTTTCAAAGCAAAACCCCAGGTTGAGGTGGGGATGGGTTGGCAAGGGTGTCAAGTTGATTATGCAACTTAGCACAATGAATTTCAAGCTATCTTTTTCCCCAAGTACTATCTGATTTTGGATGGATTTGGGGATGGCTCCAATTACGTAAAAATTACGTAAAAAATACGTAATTTACCCGTAATTTTTCCGTACCCGTAAAAGTCACGTATTTTGGCGTAAAAGTAGCGTAAAAAGGCGTAAAATTTTACGTAATTTACCCGTAATTTGCCTAAAATTCAACATACCCTGAAATTGGACATTTTGGTGACAAAACCAATCATTTGGGTGATTTCCTGGGGCTGACTTTAGGGATGAGGAACCATGCATAGGTCATCATAGGTCCAATGTTGCATACCATACAGATCGGTATAGCTTTAAATGGTTTCCAGAGTTGTTCAAGCCATCATTTCTTTTTTTGGCATGTTGTATGTGTTCTACCCTGAAATCGTTTTGATTTATTCAATCAATTTTAGTCATATTCAATCCACAACAACCACCATGGATCACAATTGCATTGTTTATGTACATCATTGGTTCTTGTTATTTTACCAGGCGTTCTACTCACCAAGCTTTTGCTTGGGCCACTTCCAGCCATCCACAATCCACAACCAAACCCCATGCTGCAGCCTTTGAAGACGGCTCGGCTGAGTTGACCTGTCAACGGTGACAGATTAGGATGCCGAAGGCAAAAGAGCTTCAGGCAGTTCCATCCAGGCAATGGAGCTGCAGTGAATTGGTGGAGGGGCATCGGAAACTTGTTGCCGCTAAAGAAGAACGAGAAAGTGATGATGAACTCAACCAGCGTATACAGGACTGTTCTTTTGTTTTGGCATATGTTCAAACCTGTTTGGGTCAAATGGCATCCAGTTGAACGCACATGATACCAAAATAGATCTTATAATCATATGATGAATGTTGAGAGAACAAACCCTGGTAGGACTATGAAGCCGAACTGGCCCGTCTGAGAGATGAGGTCGTTTCCTAGCTGAACAATTTCTCTAACAATTCAACTGTTTAACATCATTTTTTGGGAAACATGTATCCAATTCTGAAACAGGGGGCTAGCCCAGGCTTCTGATGAAACACAACCAGACACTTGGTAGCATCCTTGCTGGATTGGCATCACTATGGATTTGATCGTTTTTTTATCTTATTGAAAATCCATGGGCTTGGTGTTGAGGCCCCAGAGGCAGCTTTGGCTGCAAAGAGGCCAACAGCTAAGTCAAAGGGAAAGTCCAAGGGCAACTCAAAGGGATCTACGACTCCACCTCCCCCGAGCCGACCAGTTGCTACCCCTGCCCGCAAGGGTGCTGTTGCCAGTGAAGAAGTTCCAACCCCACCGCAAGGTGCCTCTGGGAACCCTGCACCACAGAAGCGTCTTCGAGGAAAGGTGCCTGACGATGCAAAGGACCGAGAAATCGCTGAACTCAAGAAGGCCGACTGGGGTGCAGACACCATTTATAAAATTGGGACTATATGTGACATAAAGTTTCACCCAATCAAAAATGGTAGAACGAGTTTGGTTGCTAACTAACATGCTTTTGTTTCTGGGCCGAAACCTGAATGCCCCCCATAAATGGGTAATCCTTAGGCTTCAAAAGGTTATATTTAACAGTCCCTTGAATCCCTTCGTGAAATTCGACAGAATCCATATAGAGCAATAATTCCGATAATTGTAGTATTACATATAGTAGTACAGTTTCATATCCCTAGACTTTCCTTCCTAACAATCACTTTGGCAGGCAAGTGCCAAGATGCAGGCCCAGTTGGAAGCTATGATGTCAACCCACGACAGCTCTCAAGGTGATACTGGGAGTGCTCCTGCGGCCCCTTCCGGTGAGGGCCTCTCGCAGGAGGCGAAGATGGCCAAGCTTCGTCGCGTGTGCGAAAAGAAGCCTTCAGGGAAGTGCAAAGTTCCAGAAGATATTCACTTGAAATGGAAGAACAACAATGGTGATGACCGAAAGGATCTTTTGGAGCTTCTTGAAACTTCTGACTGGGATAAGGACTGTTTGATTCTGAATCACAACTTCAGAAATGCATGTTTATACAACTGTGTTCTCTAAACTGGGGCCATCCGAAGTCCTCCACACATTCAAATCTACTGGTCTATACTGGTCTGGTTCTTTGTTGACTGCACCCTCTACATCCCTCTGCAATTCTGTTTGGGGTGGTCTTTTGCAGGACACCTTTGTTGCGAAAGTTCAGCGATCGGTTGCGAAGACGAACAAACTCACCCGGACAAAGAAACGGGCATGGCACACTGAAGAGTCCATGATGAAAAAATTGGACTGGTCTAAGCCGCTTTGATGGCCACAAAGTTTTTGGTTTGGGGTGCATAAAAGACCCTACTGAAACATGGCCAAGGGCCCAATGGAATAATTTGGGGAAACTTTTCAACCTATGGCCATAGGCAATTGTGAAAAAATATGACTAACGATTGGAACATAACTCATAGATGTTGACATTATCTCTCTTGATCAAGGTCCTACATCAAGAATGTGGTGGCCTACTGTCGCAAGCCTGGACATGAGAAGTTGGTCAGGTGTCCCATTTGCATTCTATATCAAACCACAAAATACCATGAAATACCCTCACTGCAAAATCCAGCCCATGGTTTCTATTCACATGTCCTTGATGGATGTGTCCTAGGAAAGACCGCTACAACAAGAAACTTGATAAGTTTTTGGTGGTGGTTGAGGAGAGAGATAGCGAAGTTTCTGACCTTGAAGAATGTGAACGACATGATGCCGTTCAGGACAATCCGCTTATAGTAATCCCTGCAAATTCAAAAAGACTATATACTGAACATCACAAAGCCCATTAGTCCAATCATCCCCTTTCTTGGCCATGGCCCTTGCCTCAGGACAGTGAGAAGCCCGTGAACTTCCAGTTGAAGGCCAAGGGCTCCATGGAGCCTCCGGATGTTGGGGCCACTTCGGAGACTGATGTCTCTGAGGAGGAGGAGGAAGCAAAGCAAACCAATGGCCCCAAACAGGAGCTTTGGATGTTTTTGTATGTTTTTGTTACATCAGATTGAAAGTCAACAGTCTTAAAACCACAAGATACTTCTGGCCATAATTTCAACACTTGGGTACCACCGATACATGTTGTGTGGTCAAGTTGTTTGTTTGGGTTCACCTCCCCATTTATGTTCAATAACCATAAAACATGTAGGAGTATGATCGCTTCAAGACCTTCGCCAACTCACTTTTGGGGCGGTCTGCCAAGATTTCCGAGTTGATTGCTGATCTGGAAGCTTCGATGGAAGCTTCCCAGAAAGGTCCGGAGACTTCTGAGGGGAAACGTGTTGCCAGGTCCATTCCCCAGCTTCATTCAAAACATGTCAACCCTATCTCTTACTCTCAAAGCCTTGATGTGCTTATTCTTCATGGTAGCCCTTGATTTTAACAACATAGAAGCAACAATCATGAACTACTTGAGGTTGGTAAGCAATCTGGAAGAGGCTACTGCGACTTTGGATGCAGAGCATAACAAATGCGAGTGCGTCAAGGCCCAAGTGTCGAAGTTGGCTAAGCTGAAGGACAACTCAGACCCTGCAGCTGCTAAGCTCCTTGATTTGAAAAAATGTATATAGTATATGGATTTCCCATAGTTACCCAACATAGAAACAATGGCTAACATGCCCTGAGATCCTAGGATGATCACCCAGATCGATGAACGAGTTTCGGAAACGACCATTTCGTGCCTTGGCTTCTGAAAGCAATGCTTGTCCTGGCAGCAGTTGGTTTGACGAACGGGATCCACACTTCATTGCTAAGTTATAGTAGAGCAAACTTGGTTGACTAGTCAAAGCTGCTTCATCACTGTGGCCAGGTGCAGCAAGATCACAGCGATCGAGTCTGCCGCAAAGAATCTTGTATGCACATTGTTTCTTCCCACCTTGTTCAACTATTTCCATGCAGGGATTCGATATCGAATAATGCAAGGGCCACTTGGGATTCACATGTTTCTTGCACTTAATAGTAAGGACAATGGTTCGCAACCTTAAGAAGGTCGTCAAGGAGGAAAAGTGATCCACACAATTGGGTGTTGAACAAATTTTGTTGGATAGGGGTCCAGTGCACAAACTTTGTGCCTTACCGTTCTTGAGATGAAGCTTTTGAAGTAAAGCTGAAACCATGGCAAAGATGCAGTCTGCACACAGCTTTAGAACATGCGTCTGGCGCGTGAGTGGCTGTACTTGGGGTGATTGCTCGCAAAAAAATAGAATTGCTTGCTGAATGATGCATGCTGCCGCTCTTTCATTGAAGATTGTTAGATATGCCAGTTGCCACAGCTAGATGATTCCCATCATTCATTTTGGATTATCTGGGGTATCTATTGTTATCATTTGTTATCCCTATCCCAGCACCCTTAAAGGGGTGCATTGTGGATTGACCCATTCCTGTTGGCAGCCAGGTGGTCCTGATACTCTCTTGGAGCACATGGCTCGCTTGATTGGCTTTGGCGTCAGGTCCTCATCGCGGCCGTGGGGGCATGGTGATGGTCCGTTTTGAACCGGGTGACCCTGGGATGTTTCAATTTGAAATTGCACAATGGCTCTCATGAGTTGTTTGGCTTAACAGGTAAAAGTCTTGAAACATGGCATCATCATGCATCATCCGTATTAAAATACAAAACAAATGGCCAAAGCCTAAAATAACTCTGCAGGATTTCTGACACTATCAACACATGTTTGTAGGAAGACATGCTACACAAATATACACCAATAAAGTTGTTCAATAATATACCTTCTATGGCCCACAGTGCTATATCTAGAATCTAGCCATGGAGCTCTTGGTGGATCTTCTGACCTATGAATGCCCTTATTCTGGTCGGAAGCGCGTTGCTGGGCAGTATGGTGAAGGTATTGAAACCGGACCAACAACTAAGTTCCGTAGCTGCAGTGTGAAACTTTCACTTGATGTCTCAACAGATTTCATTAGCTTCCAGTTCCCTTATTTCATGTTATTCATTCAGATCTTAGGAGCGCCAAGCTTGCACCACCACCGGTTCAACCTGAATCGCCTTGCAAAGGGGATGTTCCTTCTTTGGAGCTCTATGATGATTACTTTCAACGTGACAAACATTCTGCAAACTTTGATGGGGTGACCACACCCAGATCCCCGCTCTGCAGTCCTGAAGTTTTGTCTCCAGGGGATACTTGTCATGGCATGCGGCATAATTAAGTGGAATCGGTAAACAACACTGTGCAAACTGGTCGGTGTTTGATATCTGGGTTTGCACGGGGTTCATCGCAAATGTGAGCTAAGGAACAAGGAGACTTGGTGCGAAAACTGGCATGCTATGGTGACAGCTTTGATGCCTCAGCATTTGACTGGGAACTTTCAAAGCCTTTAGGGGTTCACAACCGGTGTCTAAAACTAGACATGAAAAGGTTGTCCTGTGGAAAAATCTTAGGTCATGCCAAAGAGCAAGTAACTGCCCTCCGAGAGAAAATTGGTATTAGATTATGTTGCTTCAAGATTGGGGTAACCACAAGCCCTTTGGACCAATTCCAGTCTTATCTGAAAAAGGGTTACAATCTGATGTGGGTCATTTGGACCTCATCCAGCACTGACATAGTGCATATGCTTGAGGCGGCGTTGATCAGCGAATTTGGCCGACATGTTGTGGATGTCACAACACTTGTGGGTCAGGGGGTGAGGGTGCCTTGAACAAGGAAAATCCACCACCTCCCCCCTACTTTGTGTATGTTGTGGGTGGCCGTGCTGATCAGCATCGTGGGGTAGGCTGAACTAGGTGTGACTGCGTGCATTTGGGAAAAGGGAAAAAAGAGATGCTGTCTCTAAGGGGAAGGACCAAACATGAAATCCTTTCATCTTGCTTCAGATTTCCTCCCTTCTTTTTCAACAAAGAATCATTGTGTTAATTTTCCTGATCTACTTACTTGTTTTCATTGTTTTCTTCTTTCCTTTCAGGCACCTTACCATTTCTTCCTACACACCCTTATCTTTGTACTTTGCACTTTTTTATTCGGCCGGCTTTGCCAAGGCCCCTGCCAAGCATGTCGTGGAGATGGCGCGTGCAGAAGTTCGGGAAAACCCAAGGGCTCCTGAGGATCTTAAGGAATTTTCAAGAATCAGGTTAGAAGATGCAGAAACTGGTGTACATACAGTTCTTCGGAAGTATAGGCTAGCATGCAAGGTTCAGATTGACACGAAGAACTTGGGACCCAATCAACTTGCGGACTTTCCCTACATTAAGCTCAGCAGTTGGCTTCAGTATTTGACTACAGCCAGGATTGCTAGGCAGTTTTGCGGGGTTTCCAGCTTGCAAAAGATGAAGAGGGTTTTGGCTGAATTTTGGAAGCGATACGAAGCAGTTCACCCCAACCATGACATATTCCGAAGGGCGCGACAGGGTGCTTTAGACTTGCAAAGTACCTTGCCGTACTTCAGCCACTCTGATGAGGGTAGGGCCTACAAAAAGGAGGCATTGTGGATTTTCAGTGTCCATGGCTGCTTGGGGAGAGGTACCCTTTCATTTTTGAAAAGAAACAAACATAAAGCCCCACTACACCGCAACGAGATGGGGCTCAATTTCGTTGGCCAGAGTTTGTCGACACAGTTCATTTTCTCAACAGTCTTGAGGGAAACAGCTACTGAACACCCTGATGTTTTGCAAAATCTTTTGAAGATTTTCGCGGAGGATGCCCAGGTTCTCCTTACACAAGGGTTCCAAACACAAGAAGGTCACCAACTATGGGCTGTCCATCTAGGATCCAAGGGAGATCTACCGGCACTTGGGAAGGTTGGAAATTTTGTTCGGACATTCTCTCATGTTCCCAGAGCACCAAGCTCACGCAAACCATGTGAGGGGATATGCTTTCGTTGCCTAGCTGGGCAAGAAAAGAATGAAAGAAATGGCAAGGAACATTTTCCGTTTGAGGACTTGTCCAGGTCACCTGCTTGGGTTTCAACCATCGATCGAGTTGAGCCGTGGAATACGTTTCCTCCGTTGTTGGAGGGTGCCCCCTTGGATCGGGACCAGCCAAGCAGTTTCTATTGCATCGACTTGTGGCATGTTTTTCATTTGGGGATAGCAAAGCACTTTGTTGGGTCATCGCTTGCAGTGATCATCGAATCCAACATTCCAATTTTAGCTCCCTATCGGTCGGTGGAGGCCAAGTTTAAGGCGATTACAGAAATGTACCGAGATTATTGCAGGGCCAACAGGCTGTCAATGTGGGTAACTGAGATCAACAGAGAAACCATCGTGTGGCCTCAAAGTTCGGCATGTCCCATTGGCAAATGGAACAAAGGGTCAGCCAGCACGACAATGATGTTGTTCTTGGGGTGGTTTGCAGAGAATCACATCAAGGGGCATACTGAAGATGAATTGCTCTTGTTGATTGCTGCTATGCTGTTCTTATGGTGCCGTTGTTTTTTTTTTAATTTGTTCTGTCTTATGAACACCCACCAAAAGCAGTTTCTATCTTATGAAGGTTTGTCCCATTGCCGTCTTAGGCCAATGCAACCATACCGCTGAACAAGGCCTTTTCTTACTTGTACAGTGCTGGATTTTGGATGAGAAGTTTCAAAGGAAAGCGGGTGGCAGATGGTTTCTTCAACTTTCTGCGTTCATACCAGCGTTTGGCTTACCTGACTTTTCTCTGGGGGAAGAGCAGGTATCAGTTCATTCCCAAACTGCATTACTTCCACCATTTTGCTGTTGAACTGGATAGACAATGTGGTATTTCAGAATGGATCGAGAGTCCCATGAGCACTACTGTGCAGCTCCAGGAAGACTATGTGGGTCGTCCAAGCCGGGTGTCGAGACGTGTTTCAATTCGTCGTATCTATAGAAATGTGTTGAACCGCATTTTGATTTTACAATGTCGTGCTTTGATCAAAGCAGATCATGACCAAAGGAGCATGGATGGTTACGGTGGGGGGTTGTAGGTTCTTCTGTTTTGTGACCTGAAACCTAAACCTTTGCTGGAATTTCTGTTCAACATTGTAAAACATTTATTGGTTTCTATTGGACAACAACCCTGCATTGTTTCCATCTGGCTGTGAGAAGTTTGCGCTGAACTTAACCAAAGAGTGGATCAGAGGAGAAAACTAAAGCTCAAGAGTGGGTGCAGGTTGTGTGTAGGGGATTGGTGGTGGATTTTAAGTTGGAATGGTAAACATCATAAAACCCCCAAAAAACAAAAGTCATGGTTTTTTTCAAAAGGGCCGTATTTTGATATATGCTTTAAACAGGATAGCGTAAAGCATGTTCACCAATCAAAAAAGGGAACAAACCGGCTCTAGGTATATAATATTGTATATAATACATGTGAACATCCAGTGTTGCTATTTGGACATAGCTTGCTTTCGAAGGAGTTCTGCAAAGTGGTTGTGGTTCTTTTCCTTGACCGTGTGGGCCGTGTTTACTGCGTTGGTTCTTTTGGAGGTGCTGCCCAATTTGTGTCTCCGTAGCTTCCTTTCAAGACGGACCTGCACTGCAGCTGCATTCTGCGGTACCACTCACCTTGACATGAAACCCTGGCCAGCCAAGCGCATTGAGAATAAAGCAGGCAAATCTCATGTTGCGTAAAAGAAAGTCAATGATAAATGATAAATAAACCATCGACAAATCTGTGTATTGTTACAGACTGCACCTAATTCGTGCCGCTGGACAGCGCAAAGGATTCGCTGCCTCATGTCGGTCTCTGTGGATATTCCTGGACATGGTCACTTTGATATCAAACTGACTGCTTCGAGCACCGCTGCTGACATTATTTTACTGCTACGTGAGCGTTTGCCAGACAGCCCATGGCATGGGAACAAGTTGCTGTCAAGTGGGGTCTGCCAGCTACAGTGCGATGACATTGTGGAGGCAACCCGCCACAGCACTTTAGTCTTGACAAACTACTCAGAGATCACCAGCCAGGAGAGAAACCTGCAGCTTTGTTTCTTTTTTCAATAGGTAATGCAGACCATGCCAGGTCCTCCGCAGCCAGTAGCACATTAGAAACTAAATGCCAACAAGTACCAATTGCGACAAGTGCAGCAGTGTGATGGACCGATTCATTTTTTTGTTTTGGGATTCAATGGTTTAAACGCATTTCGAACGTGGCTTGTGAGATCTACTTGATAGTGGGGGAACAGTCGGCCACTGAACAGGCGCCTTTGTGCATTGAGAACATGTGAAGCAAAGGCTCTGTTGTCGATAGAATAAAGAGAAACTTCAGCGGCATATCCTTGAGACCATGTGAAAGAAAGGCAATATAACCAATAGGATCAAATCGAATAAAGAGAAACCGTATTTAAAAGTCAATCGTTTGAAATTCAGAGATTGCAGGCCCATGATTCCACCTTTTGAGGGTGCTGCACAATGCTTTTTGAATTCCATTCCAATTTCATTTGCTGCATTTGTTGGTGGACCCGTCGAAGGAGCCTTTCTGCATCGAAGATACTGCAGAGCGAGGGATCACTCGCGAACAATTGGCAAAGATCGTTGTTTTCATCTCCAAGATGGCTGACAGATGGTGCGAGACTTTCGGAGAACAGCGTGGGACAAGGCTGCAGTTTGAGACCTTCAACCTGTATGATGCGAATCACTGGATCATCAAACCAGCCACCGAAGCCTGGATTTGTTGATGATGTGACAACATTTTCCAATTTGAAGAATCTACCGTTTTTCTTTTTTAATTGGCAACATTATGTAGAATCCCAGGACGGCTATGCGAAAAAGGGCTGCAGCATGGTAGAGCTCATGGCGATTCAAGTTCAGAGACCTCATTGGTTTGTGTCACATGCTTGGATCGAGCCTTGGATAGGCAAACCCTCAAGGTTGTTTGAGATCGTGTTATTGCATTGTCTGTCAGCAACAAGTTACTTTTTCCGCTAATAATTCACATTCCCCTAGAAGCCTTGGTTGAGTTTTGGACTTGTTTATTTCGGACCCTCAATAGGATGCTGTATCAAAAAGAAATGAACATCGAGCGTAATGATAGATGAAAGTCAATCTATTGCTTTGAAGCACGCCCAATTTTGTGTTGGGCAGATCTGTGAGGAGCCTGTTTGTAAGTTTCTGGCCTGCTTGGAGCAGCATGCTCTGGTGCGAGAACTCTCAAGCAGTACATTCTATTGGGTCTGTGCATATGCCAATAACCAGCACTGCGTGGAAGAGGATATCAAAAGCAACCCGCGCAGCACTTCATTCTACAGAGCTATGCAGATGTCTGAGGGAGTTCTTTTGGTGCTGGATTCAGCTGGAACGTGACTATTGCAGGGGCTGAGAAGGTTCCTGCTGAGAATTTGGACGAGGACAAGTCGGACGCAAAGATGGACAATGCTGGAGAACCCGCTGGGGCAAAAAGAACTGTCAGTACTCCTGAAAAGAGTCCTCCGGCCAAGCGTGTTGCGGGGGAACCCAAGCCCCCTCACAATATGAAGGTGAAAAGCATCCCTGCTGACGGCAACTGTCTTTTTGAAGCCCTTGCTCAAAGTTTGGGCGGAAAAACAGCCAGGAATGTGCGTGCAAGCGTTGTCACCCACCTGACCAAGCACCAGGGTCGTTACAAGCCCTGGTGGGACGGCAAGGAGCCAACAGAGGCGGAGAATGCTTGCGAATCATGGGAGAGCTATCTCACCATGCTCTCAAAGATTGGTGCTTGGGGCAGTGCTCTTGAAGTTTCTGCTGCGGCTGTGCACTACGATCGCCCGATCATTGTCTTCCAGCCTCGTGGGGTTCCGGAGATTTACAATGGTCGTGGCAAGGGTGGTGCTCCCATCGCTTTGTGGTTTCGTTCAAAGCACTATGAACGACTTGAAGGTGCTTTCCCTCCTGAAGTTTTGACTCAGGCCGCAAATGGTCCAATGCAGGGCAACAGAGGTGGAGGATCGGAATGTGGCGCTACTTCAGTTGGTGCCACCAGATTGTCAGCTTTGCCGTCACTGGTTCATAGCAACAATAAACGTGGAAGGTGTGCTAGCCCCGCGCCCGCCTCTACTTTGTCAGAGCAGCGCAAGAATTCTTCTTCCCCTGCGGCTGCTACTTCGGGTCGGGGTCCGTGCACGCCACGTGCAGCCAGTGAAGGACAAGACGCAGCCAGTGCTTCGTCCAGACGCACTAAGCGTACTGAGTGGACATGCCCTTTGTGTGACTTTTCCACTGGGGTGTGCAAAGGATGGGTTGACAAGAAGAGAGCTCATATCAATGCTTGGCATCCCGATGAGAAGGAACAGTTGAAAATCGGCTTCAAAAACACGTTGCCTGCGCTGTCTGCGGTCAAGAAGGGAGGAGTCTATAGCTGGAAGTGTCCTGTTTGCAAACTTGGCTTGTCCGCTGATCACAACCTCAAACCTGGCCAAGTGTACAGCGTCATCCGCAAGCATAGGGAAGACAAACATCCTCAGGCGGATGCCAAGCTCTTCCACAAGGACAGCAGCTTCAGACGGGAGAATGCTAGCAAAGCCACGCGCCAGGTGCGTGCAGCTGCAGTGGCTCGAAGGTTGCTTGGCTTCAAGCGTGGCGATGCTGGAGCACATGACCCCACTTTCGTTACCATTCCAGCCACAGGAAATGGCAAACAGAAAAGAGTTGGAATGTCTTACGTCATTTGCAAAACTTGTGGCAGTATGGCTTTGACAGCGAAGCGTTTGGCAAAGATTGCTTGTGAACAGTATGCTTCCAGCAAAGGGCCCAAACGAAAGCAGTTGGTGGAAAGATTGCGTGCGTGCCTCAAAAATGCAGACATCAGCGATGACCTCAAGAAGGGTGCCCGCACAGTTTTGGAAATCATCGACTCTGGAGCATTTCGCACCACTGATACTGCAGCAGACAGCACGCATCAGATTGAGGCCATTGTGTGGCCTGCCAATTTTACGGTGCGTTTTGCTTGTGTGCATTGCAAGCGTTGTGTCAACAACATCAGACGGCTTACAGGAAGTCAGTGTCCTCGTAAAATGGTTTGGACTAAGTTTCGAAAGGGCCAGAGGGATATTTTGGTGCCTCTTGCGGCTCAGGCTCCAAGTGCCAGACAGCGAGCTGCTTCGCGAGCTTTGGACATTTTGGGATTGCAGCAGGATGGCGCTGTGGATCAGAACCCATGACGGGCTCTGACAGCACTATGCGGTTGGGGACTATGAATGTACGGTCCTTGGGAGGCCGCTTGGGTGGTGTGCTTGACTTTGCTCAGCTCCAGAATTTACATGTTCTGTGTCTTCAAGAAACTAGAGTTAACAATCACAGCTGGAATGCTGTGACTCGTGCCGTCAAGGCACGCGGGTGGCAACTTTTTCCTGGCCCTCAAGGAAGAAATTCGAAAAATGTAGTGGAAGGTGGTACATTGGTTCTAACAAAGTGGCCTGCTGAGGCCTTGGCCCTTCCTGTCGACATGGTGTCTGTGGAAAGATCCATGGCCGTCAAACTCTATAGACCTCAGCAAAGGCCGTTGATTCTCATCAATGTTTACTTACATGCTTCAGATCGCACAGCTGCCAGCCGTGCGCTGGGTGCGCTGTTCGAGTTTGTTGCTGCTTGTGGTGAAGATACAGTGATCATGGGTGACTTCAATTTGGAAATTCATTGTTGGCCAATTTCTAACGTTTTGGCTACTGGACAGTGGCGGTCCTGTGATGAGCTGGTTTGCGGAGATCGTGTTTTAGGTGGTACACATCGAACTGCTGCAGGTGTTTATACAGGTGTGGTCATTGACTATGGCTTGTGCACTCCTCGGTTAATTATTACTGGTAGGGAGCAACATCTTGGCGTGGCTGACCATGACGCGGTGGTTTACAACTTGCATGTGCCTGGTTCATTATCCACACCGTGGACTCTCCCAGTTGGTGCCCCTTTGCATTCTGAAAAGGTCGCTGAAGCTTCTTGGCTAAGTGCTTGGGAAGAAGTATGTGACGATTTTGGAAATGCATTGAGTACAGGCAACGTGGACTCTGCTTGGACCTTACTTAGCAACTGCGCAGAATCTCTTCTTCTCGCACGTGGCAAAACTGGTCGTGCTATGCGCCAGGGCCCGCAGCAAATTGCCAGTCCTCCGTCTTCAAAAGCGCCTTCTTTGCAAACAGTGAAAGAGCGCAAGCTCAGACGCTTCGCACGAAGAGTGGTGGAGTACCAAAAGGCCCCGTTGCCAGAGTTGGAGAAGAAGTTGGTTCGTGATGGCCCTCATTTACATCATTCTTTGGCTTTTTTCTCTTTGGATGACCCCAGGTTGGTTAGTGCAGTGCTAGAATTGGCAAATGCAGAAGCTACAGCAGCGTCCAAGTTACGCTTGGAGGCGTGGAAGGACAGCGTGCAGGAAAATGCCACCAAACTAGGCAGGTGGGTCAAACAGGTGCCGCCCGCCAGTCCTACTGCAAGTTTTGATGGCCCCATTCTACCTGCAGATAGGGCCAAGTGCGCAGCATTGGATTGGGAGAGGTATTGGAATCCAGGGTCGCTTCCGAATTTGAATCTGGGGGACCAGTTGTACTCTCAGATTGGCTCTGCAAGCGATCCATTGCCGGATGACTGTATTCAGGTTAGTGGTTCTGAATTGGTTCGGATTGCGCTCAAAGCGAAGGACAAGGCTCCGGGCATGGATGCCTGGACAGCTCTCCATTTGTGCAATCTTCCCATTGCTTTTTGGGATCAGGTCGGTGCTCTTTGGGATGCTTGCTTGCGACATGGCTGTGTTCCTGCGATGTGGAAAGATGTTAGAATTGCTTTGTTACCAAAAGCTACTGGTGGCATGCGCCCTTTAGCCATTGTCACTGTCCTGTGGCGTATTTGCATGAGTGCCAATCTGAAAAAATTACAGCCTTGGATTGCGGAATGGGCTTCGCCCGAACTTTTTGGTGGTCTACCAGGCAAGGGCATCATGGAAGTCCATGAACGTTTCTACGAAGCTGTCAGCGCGGCAAAGCAGTCTCGTGTCGATTTGGTCGGGTGCAAAGCTGATGTTCGCAAGTGTTTTGATTCAGTTTGCCCTCAGACAGCCATTAAAGTGTGGCGATTGTTCGGTGCTCCCTCATCAATTTGTGATTTACTCGCTGATTTTTACAGTGAACAGCGTCGTTGGTTTGCTTGGCAAGGTTCTTATCACCCTCATCCGGTTATTGCTCAACGGGGTTTGTTGCAAGGCTGTCCAGCCAGCCCTGCGCTACTGAACGCTTTGATGACAGTTTGGGTGAGGTTTGTCAAACGGCAGGAACCAAGGATTTCTTTGGCTATTTATTTGGACGATCGCACCATGTGGAAACAAGGTTGTCAAAGTTTTGAAGTGGTCATCAACGCCATGACTGCGGGAGCGCAAGCCGATGCTATTCTCGGCTTCGAACTTCACCCTGACAAATTGGCTAGCTTCGCCACCAAACCGCATCTGGTTGCCAAGGTGCGCAAGAAGAAAGATTTAGTAGGTGTACCTGCGGATACTTTCACACTGCTTGGCATTCAATACAATTTGTCACGCCCCAGTTCTTGTGTTGATGCGGATATTGTCAGTGACAACATTCAGCGACGGTGTCTCAAAATTCGTTTGGCAGCACAGCACTTAGGCACTCGCATTGCATTGGTGCATAAGTTGGTGATATCTTTATTTGCTTGGTCCGGTGCTTTTCATCACTTCAGTGCAAGAACCATTCGAACATGGACATCTATGATCGAAACTGCACTTTGGGGTCGAAGGGCTCCTCCAGGTAGGAGCCGGCTGCTCTTTTGGAATTCTTTGGGTTCTGCAAGACTACATCCGATGTTTGCGCTCCAGTTCACCGCCGCCCGGGCGGAATGGAATCGGCAATGCCGCCGTGCCCAAGGGTTGCCTGCAGCTACCTCGCCTGCTCCTCGCTGGAAAGCAGTACTCAAAGATTGGAAATGGCGACTTGACGATGGCCTGTGGCACACGCCTGCTGGGATTTTGAAACCTGGGTGGATGTCTTTGAAAAGCTTGCAAAAAGCCGCTATCCATTCATGGCTCGTTGGTTTGTGGACTAAAGACACCAAAACGGATGGTCGATGGCCAAACGGCAAGGAGCCGGGTTTCCTTTTTCAGGCAAATGCAGCTTTAGGCATGGATTACTACAGTCGCAGGGTTTTGACTGGTGCTGCAGTGGATGGCAGGGTCACAGAGCGCTTTGGTTCTGCTTTGAGTTGTGAATGTGGATTGCGGTCTCCTGATCGAGAACATCTCACTTTTCACTGCCAAGCGCAGCCATGGGATGGTGAGTTCAGGAGCGCTACTGAACGTCGTTTGCTGGTTCCACTTGTGGATGCTCCTCCTGTG